ATTTCTCACAATTCTGACCTTTCTTAGAATTACGAGTTTATAAGCAATTGCTTAATATTTATGTGAAAATCTTGATATTTTTTTGGGTTTCTTTGTCGAATAGAAAGTTCAAAAGAACAGCATTTACTTAAAATAGAAAACATTAAAAGTCTTTACTGTCACTTTTGATTTATTTAAACCATCCCTTTCTGAATTAAATTATTATTATAATTTTTTTTTTTTTACTTTTTAAATATAAATGTACATTTCAACATGAAATTATATTAATTTACTTGTGGATTTTCTGGATGGATGGATTCACTCACCAGTGATGGCTGCTTTGTACATTCTACATTCTCGTGGGAAAACAGAAAGGCATCTTTGACCAGCACAGCGATGGCCCTCAGTATGAACGAGAAGAACAGGTTCAGATGGATGTAGTTCCTGGTGCAGTGGAGTTTTCTGTTGGAGCAAGACAGACCTGTAAATAAACATGGCCTCTTTTCTATTTTAATTGTGCTTATGGTTAGTTTGTGAGAAAAATGCAGAGTCTTAAGCACTGTTCCATTCATCACATCTCCAGACAACTTCTTCAATTAATAATTTCATTCCAGCTAGATAAACACTATCGGGTAAAAACCAAGCGCCAAGCATAATGTTTATCCTCAATGTCAAAAAAATTAAAATATAGTCATTCAGAAGCCTGCCAAATTCAACAATTACAATTAATATAAGGCAGGCTCATACATCCATACAAAGTGCAGAGTAATAAAAAGCAGACACAACTACTGGAACTATTTAAGGCTCCGTTTCAGACCTGAACAGACAGAGGATGGTGCTGCCAGTGATGAGTGCGATGAGAGAGAGGCTATGTCCGAGTGTGTAAAGGGCCTTCATCACCGTGTAGAAAACAAGCTGGACAGAAAGAGAAACAAAATTTGAGAAATACTTTGTATTTGCAATATTTTATTTTTAGTGGGGTTAAGACACCCCACATAAAATTCAGCTATTCCCCAAGAGATCTAAACCATAATGCTCTATTGCTTCACCAAAAAAAAAAAAAAAGAATAAATAAAATAAAAGTTATATGATAAAAATTATTACAAAAATTGTGATTATTGTCTAAATCACTATGGCAAAAATCACTCAATAACATGTCTAAATTTGACTAGCCCAATCGTGCTGCACATTCCTCAGAACATTTACATCCTGTGATCACCAGCCCACACTTCTGATGTATAAAAATCATACCTTTTTTTTTCTAGCAGAACAAATGTCAAAGCTGCCATTTCCATACAACAGAAATGCATGGTTAAAACTGGCATTCCAGTTGCAATTTTATTTGGTTTATTTAAAAACAAAAGTATACTATATATTTGGGTCTCAATTAATTTACATAAAAATAATACAATATAATATAGTTCATATAATTGGGTATATGAACTAATTTCAAGTTAAGCAAAATCTATATCCCAGACTATCCACACTTCCATATACTGTATACAAAATAAGTAGTAAAAAAAAGTACTGAAAGTAGTAAAAAATCCCCCTTTGGCCATGTTTTATCTTACCTACTTGTTTGAACTCCTATCAATGCAACAAAGTTTTTGTATATAATCATCACTTTTTTTTTTTTTTTTTTTTTAATGTCAGCAGCACTGTTGCTATATTAAAGGGGTCATATGATGCGATTTCCAATTTTCCTTTCTCTTTGAAGTTTTACAAGCTCTTGGTGCATAAAG